TTTTATCACAGTATTTTTTTCCCTGTTGGTTTATAAGAATAAATAATTTTATAGTATTTTTATTATTATGAGCAAGATAGAGAGAGAAGCCCAGAGTGGTGGTACACTACTCCAATCCTAGCACACTGGAGGAGAGTTCGGCAGATCTCTGAGTTCAAAGCTAGCCTGGTCTACAGAGTAAGTTCCAGGTCAGCCAGGGCTAGACAGAGTAACCCAGTCTCAAACAGGAAAAAAAAAAAAAAAAAAAAAAGATGCGTTGGAATGCCTAAAATATTACTAGTAATCAAAAGTAACTTAACAGGGAAAAACTTTTAAGTAGTTAGAAAAAGATAAGGAAACGGGGAGGAGATCTAAGGGAGGAGGCTGGGTGTTTGACTCATGCCATCAAAACCACTTTCCACAAATATCTGTTACCAGAGAGTGAAAACAAAAGGAAGAAATGTGAGATTGGACCAGAGGAGATTCCCACACCTAGCGGTTACGTTTTACGGGGAAAGTGGCTAACAGCCCATTGCAACCAGCGCCTGTTAAACTCAAATCAGATAAATGACTGTTTGAAAAGAAAGCTTGTTTACCTCCTGGGAGACTCAACATTACGCCAATGGATTTACTACCTCCCCAGAGTTGCAAAAAGTATGTTGTTATCTTCATATTCTTCCAGAAATCCAAGCTGACCCTACAGTGCTTTGAATGCAGTCTCCTCCCTCTTGCCTAAGCTCTTTTGTTTTTTTATTTTATTTTGCCTTCTAAGTTTGAGTCTTTATATTTATATTTTAATTTCCTTCTCATAAATATTGCTTTTCCTTTTAACATTTATTCGTTTCCTTCTACTTAAAGGTCTTTTCTGTTTTCTTTTCAGCACTGAAGCCTTTTGACCTTCATGGGACTGGAGTACATAAGAAACATGTGCTTTTGGATGCTGAAAGGCACACTCTGGTTGAATGGAAAAAGCACAGCCACCCTTTTGTCACTGATCAACTATACTCTGTGGTAGATGATGGCTACATCCCTCAGGAAATTGACCGCTTACCAGGTGACAAAGATACTGCCATTGTCATTACGTTGGGCCAGCACTTCAGACCCTTCCCCATGGAACTTTTCATTCGTAGAGCCATCAGTATCCAAAAGGCTATTGAACGGCTCTTCCTCAGAAGCCCTTACACTAAAGTCATCATTAAGACAGAAAATATCAGGGAGATGAACATAGATACAGAGAAATTCGGAGACTTCCATGGTTATATTCAGTATCTCATCATGAAGGATATCTTCAAAGACCTTCATGTGGGTACCATTGATGCCTGGGACATGACCACTGCATATGGTACCAATATTGTCCACCCACCTGATGAAGTGATTAAAAGTCAGATTGACATGTTTTTAAACTACATTTGCTAAAGCTACATCACTAAGAGCCAATGTCTGCCAGTGATGCCATGTGTTTCATCAGTGTGTTTCATCACATTATTCAGTTCAGGATCTAAAAAAAAAAAAATTAATTTAGAAGAATCTGCCTTGGAATAGAGACTCCCTGGGTTTAACTTTCAGCACCACATAAGCAGGGCATACAGGGAATTACATGCTTGTAATTCCAGAACTCAGACAATCAGAAGTTCAAGGTCAACCTTAGTTATATAGTCAGGTCAAGAAGAGCCTGGGCTACATGAGAACCTTCCTTGATGAAAAATAATAGCCATAATCTTGACAGGAAACATACTTTAAAACAATGACTGCAGAGATGGAATATAAAGCCAAGAAAACTAGATGTCAAGACAATCCTAGGATATATTCCATTTGTCTCTGTGTTAATACATACCTTTATTCTTTAGGCAACTTGAAGTCATGATATCTGTTACTCTTGGCTAACCCAAGTAACAGGAAGTGTTAAAGAGACCAGACATGTCATTAACATTATGTTCTAAGATTTCTTTTACTTAAAAATAATCATCCTTTTTATTTTCTGCAAAAGAACAGAGAGTAAGTATGTTAGGCTTTAGGGTCTATGTATTGACTCTGTCACCACTGTCACTAAAGCACAAAGCAAGAGAAAAAGGTAAGCAAATAAAAATGTTTGTATTTAAAATAAACCCTGGTAATGAACATTAAAAATTAAATTTTATTTAATTTATTCATGTCAGAAAATCTTATTATTCCTTGATTTTCTCCAACCATCTTTAAAAAGCAGAAATCATTCTTAGACAAAAGGAATAGACAAACAAACAAATACATAAATAAACATAATTAAACAGACACAGGCTAACAGGTTCAGGCCATGTTTTGCAGACACTTTATTTGAAACAAAGAACAAAACTGGGTAAACATGAACAAAAATCCCTCAAAAACTAATGAGGAAACTAGTGTCAACTAAAAATAGGGGAAACTCCAGTCATTGAAAACTTAATCAGTCAGAAATACGTAAGAAATGTTACTGGCTGGTTGTGATGGTGCATGCCTTTAATCCCAGCACTCAGGGAAGCAGAAGCAGGCAGATCTCTGTAAATTCGAGCCCAACCTGGTCTACAAGACAGCCATGACAGCCAAGGCTACAACAGAGAAACCCTATCAAGAAAAAAATAAATGTTACTCACTGAACGAAACACAACAATCATTTCTTATGATGTTAGTGGTGTGTGGCTTTTCCTGGGGAGACAAGAACAAGCATATTCTGAGCTCAGATTATGCACTGAGAGAAGAAAGATAGGACTCAACCAAATCTAGCTGAGCGTACAGGTAAGTTTTGAGGGATTACTGAAGGGAGTATAGATACATACAGTGCTGGAAACCCAGGACCTCAGACATGTTAGGTACTATACTCTACCACCCAGCAACACCTCAAGTTTATCTCTTGGGTTGAA